GACATGGTAAGGATGGAATGAGTTACTGGGCGCCGTAGGGCTGGGGAGCAGTAAGGGTCTATGCAAACGTGGACACAGGGGACGCAGAGGCAGCCCAGGTTCCCCCAGGCCAGTTGGAGGTCGGTCAAGGCTCTCACCTGCATGGACTGCTTTACCTATTACATGGGGACTTTGCATCGTGAATGTATCTAAATGCTCCTGGACTTATTTATGCGCCTCTGTATCCTCTGAACCTATTTATAGTAATCTAACATTTTGACTTTGTAAATAAATGTATTTATTAAATCTTAGATCATGTTACTCCTGTGCTTCCAATTCCTTGAGGGGCTTCCCACGTAGGATTGCTAGGCTTAGCAAACAAAAATGGCTGGACACCTCGTTCAATTTGAACTTCTTATAAACAACAAATACTTGTTTAGTATAAGTATGTCCCTGAGCCGAGAGGCAGCCATGTACAATCCATTATGTGACCTTGGGTCCCGTGTATCTTACATGAGGCTCCTTGCTGGCCCAATCTCATAGAATTGTACTTACCTGGTGGAACAGTACATCTAAAGTATTCACCAAGGGCTCAGCAAAGAGTAAATGCCCACAAGCATTAATTTGTTTTCTCTAAAATATTCTGATCAAAGATAGTAATAATAAAGATAGTGGCTTTTAAATTTCAGATAAACAACAAAAGGTTGTTTAGCATAAGTATATCCATGGATATACTTATACTATATACTTATATTAAATAAGCATTTGTTGTTTATCTGAAATTCAAATTGAACTGAGGATCCTGCACTTTATTTGGCAGCCCTACCCCCATCAAACTTATAACAAAATCCAAATTCCTTACCCTGTGGGCTTACCATGACCTGTCTGCCTTCCAGATCATTCTCTGCCCTCCTCTGACCTGCCCTCTGCCCCAGGAGTCTGACCCCCATGAATCACGTCATCCTGGCTGCCTTGCCCTCCGCCTTCTAGTTGGGCTGAGCTGGAGGGGCGCTGGCAGGGGAACAAAAGGAAGGAAAAGAGGGCAGGGTGTTCATTCCTCTGGCCTCCAGGCTGTTATTTGGCAGCAGCTACATCTCTCACCTGTGGCCACAGCTCGGGTCTGTGCATGCCTGTCTCTCACAGCCTCATCTCCCCTGTTCCAGAGAGGTAACAGCTTCCACTGTTGCCGGTCTCTGAGGACATCCCATCCTTCCCCAAACCCAGTGTCCACCTCTGTGTCTTCATTAAACTCTCTTTAACTGTCCCTTTGAAACTACGATCCCTTCGCTGCCAGGATGCTGATCGATCAGACCTCTCTGACTTCATCGCATGCCGGGCTCTGCCTCACTCGCCATGCCCTGGCCACACAGGCTTAGGTTTCTGAGACTCACTGGGCATATTTGCACCTCGGGGTGATGCCCTTGCAATTCCCACTTCCCCGAATACTCTTCCTTCATGTTATGCAGGCATTTGCTGAAATGTCACCTCCTCAAGGAAGCCTTCCTTGACCACTCTACCTAACACTGACCCTAACCCACCTAGTTTCACTCTATCACAGAGGTTGGCAAGCTACAGCCTTTGGGGAAAATCTGGCCTTCGCTTGCTTTCGTAAATAGAGTCTTACTGGAACATTGCTACACTCATGCGTTTATATATTGTCGATGGCTGCTTTCGCTACCAGGGCAGATTTGAGAAGTTGAGACACAGACTACATGGCCCTCAAAACCTGAAATAGTTACTGTCAAGCCCTTTAAAGAAAATGTTCGCCAGTGCCTGATCTACCATATCAAATTATTTTATCATGCTAATGGAAAAATCCCAAACTCTATAAAATGTGTGTGACCATAGCCCAGGGAGCTGTGCCCAAGAAGTCTTGAGCAAGTGGTCTGGAGGTGGTTGGGTAACAGTTGTACTTTATACATTCTTGGAGACAGGAATTGCAGGAGAAAGCATAAATCAATGCATGGAAAGTGTACACTGGTTTAGCCCAAAAAGGTGGGACATCTCAAAGTTGGGGAGGCTTACAGGTTATAGGTGGATTCAAAGATTCTTTTTTTTTTTTTTTTTTTTTGAGACAGTCTCGCTTTGTTGCCCAGGCTGGAGTGAGTGCCGTGGCATCAGCCTCGCTCACAACAACCTCAAACTCCTGGGCTCAAGCAATCCTCCTGCCTTAGCCTCCCGAGTAGCTGGGACTACAGGCATGCACCACCATGCCCGGCTAATTTTTTGTATATATATTAGTTGGCCAATTAATTTCTCTCTATTTATAGTAGAGATGGGGTCTGGCTCTTGCTCAGGCTGGTTTCGAACTCCTGGCCTCAAGCAATCCGCCCGCCTCGGCCTCCCAGAGAGCTAGGATTACAGGCGTGAGCCACCTCGCCCGGCCAAAGATTCTTTGATTTTTAATTAATTGGTAAAAAGAAATGAAGCTTTCTCTAAAGGCTTGGAATGTTTTAAGTTAAGATAAGGAAGTCTGCTACTCAGAGACAAGCCATAATACACTGACTCAATTTGTTAAGCAAATCGATGCCCTGCGTAGGGACCAAGGCCATCAGCTCCCTGAACTTTTGCTGAAAGATCAACTCACAATAAGGCAGATTAATGAGAGATAGGGATTACAAATTTATTTACCATGCATGAAGGGAGAATCACGGTGTGAACTAAAATAAAATCTTAAGCCCCCAGCAGACAGATATAGACCCCCTCTTGGCCAAGGGGACTGCGTAGCTCTGGGAGGGAGGATGATGGATGGCTGGGGTTGGGGACAGGATTGACAATTGAGATTGGGACTCAGTTTCAAGTGACGGACATTCAGGTTCCTTCTGAGATTTGATCCCCCAAACATGCAGTAACAGATGCTCCATGGCAAGGATAAGTCTAAGGTAGGACAAGGTCCCCACAGGCCTTGTTCCTGACAGCAGCGGAGGTCCCCGCCCTGCAGGGTTTCCTGCTGACTCCAGTCCTGTGTCAGGCCGAAAGCGCTGACTGTGCTTCTTCAGGGAGACGAATGCCTCCCCCACCCCCAGGAGAGAACAGGCCGGCAGCCTTTGGCAGGGGCAAAGTGGATTAATTTGAGGTGTGTTTTGGATGCAGAATTGCAGAAATTCTTAAGTGCTGGATTTCAGTGGAGAAAGAGAGAAATAATTTCTGGGTAGGCAGTGCTGCCTTTACCAAGATGGGGGAAGACAAGAGATGAACAAGGTAAGGTATGAGTAAATAAAGAATTCCACTTTAGACGTACTTAGTTCACGGCCAAGTACTGTCCTTTGCTTCTGGCAACCAAACAGCTTAATTAGTGGGAGAAGGAGCTGGCAGGCTTAGAGTGAGAGAAGAACAAGGAGCCAACTGCAACTCATATGGGTAAAAGGATTGTTCTGGACGACACTCAGGAAGGACTGCCACACCCTGGAGTGGGGAGGGGCCCTTCTGGGCATCACTGGCATCTGCCACCTTGGAGAGAGCTGAGTAAGGACAGCTGGGGTTGGGGCGGGGACAGGGAGCATACAGTTGGGAGTTTGGGGTTCTGCTTCCTGCTTGGACCCTGACTCTGTGCCATTGGAATCACCCCTCTATGGACCTCAATATCTTCATCCAGAGGCTAACATGGTGGCTCACACCTGTAATCCCAACTTTGGGAGGCCCAGATGGGGATAGGATCCCTTGAAACACAGGAATTCCCGACCATCCTGGACAATATAGGGAGGCTCTGTCCCTACAAAAAAGTACAAAGTATATACTCTTAACTATAAAATGGGAATAATAATGCCTGCTTAGCCAGGCCCATAGGAAATGAAGATGACAAATGTAAAGTACTTAGTTAGCATGGTGTATGGGCCAGGGGAGGGTGACTTGCTATTGTTAAGAGGCAACACAGTGTGGTGGGCAAGACCACAGACTCCACAGCCAGGCTACTGGGTTCAAATCCTAGCACACACCCCTCCCCCACCTTCCTAACCTATGTATCTTTAAGCAAGTTACTTAACCACTCTGGGCCTCAGTTTCTTTGTCTGTAAAGTGGAAATACTAATAAAACCTTCCCCACAGAGTGTTGGGGAATTTATAAAATGAATGAACTCATGTAAAGCACATAGACCATCACCAGGTAATAATACATTCTTCATACACAGTAGCTGTCATTTGCTATAAAGATTGACAATGGAGGGAATCCCAGATCCCAGTTGGTGCCCCCCTAATACTCCTTTGCAAAGTCCCTCTCATTCATTTCTTCTCCATTGACAGGATATGTAGGCCAAGAGTTTGGGGTTCAGACCTTGCTCAGACATTGAGGAGTGGGGAGAAAGGAATATACACCACAATAACTGTAATCACTAACACATTCACCCTTGGCCACAGGCAGGCACAGGGCTAAGCACTTTACCTGGGTTCTATCAACCACATCACTCCTGTAAGCCCCCCTAGGACACTTGGGATGAGTGCTATTATCATAATTTGCATGTCAAAGACAATGAATCAAGGATGGATGGTCAGCAGCACCTGCGACATGCAGTGGGGAGCTAGGCTCCGTGGAAACCACCCTCTATGCCTTTGGGAGGCTTAGTGTGGTCCCACCTTCAGGAAGCTTCCTCAAGTGGAGAAACATGTTCATTCATTCGTCCAACTGCCAGTGAGCACTTCTTTTGTGCTATCACGGAATTGCAGATTCCTAGCTGGCTCGTGTGAGTGGCACAGGCTTGGAGGTGGCAGAGAGATCCCTGTGGGGACGTAGGACACAGCTTCCAGAGCTTACAAATCCTCTTCAGGAGAAAGAACAACACGGGAAAGGTAAGCAGGAGAAAGTGAAAAGGTGACCAGGGGATGATGAGAAGTTTAGGAAGAGACAGGACAGACCCAAGTCTAGATGGGCAAATCCCTTTCCGGCAGCTCTGGACCTGGTTTCTCATTTGTCAACAGCGGCGCTGAGGTTTCTGCCAGAGAGAACACGACAGGATTCCGGATTCCGTGGGGAGCCAGCGGGTCGCCGACTCCTCTCCCTCGCCCAGTGGAGCTGCCCCCTGTAGAAGAGAGAAAGAAGGGAGGGAGGAAAGCCCAGGGCAAAGGCGCGCGAGCTGGGCGCCAGGCACCACCGCTCCCGTTAGCAGTGGGCACTCCTCGCCGCCCCCGTGCGCAAGATGCGGCGCAGCAGCTGGTGGGGAAGAACTGTGCGGGCGGAGGCCACCGGAGTCAGCCAAGCGCTATCAGTGGAGAAAACCGGCTCACTCCGGCACAGGAGCAGCTAGAAGTGGCAGCGGAAAAGGAGCGAAGAGAAAGCTCCCGGAGGCGGAGATCGACTCCACGCAGCCGCTTTCTTTACCCGCCACCCCAGTCCCAGAGTCCCCCGGCACGCGCGGAGAGGAGGTAGGACCCGGGCGGGCTCGGCTCCCAGCTCCCTGCTGGATCGCAAGCCCACTGTGCAAAGGACCCCCTGCAGTAAAACCCACCCCGGAGCGATCGCGCCAGCTCCGGCTAAAAGCTGTCTTGGAAGCTGAGCAGCATGCGCCTATTTGCTCCAGCTCCAGGTTCTTCGGAGTCCCCAGAGTCCCAGGCAGCGGGGCAAGACCTTGCACCGACTGGAGAAACCAGTTTAGCCAGAGACAGCTTCGGGACCCCCAGCTCCAGGCACAGAGAGCGTTCCCACAGGCCCCGAGCGCACTTTTGCAGCCCAAAGTAATTCGCCAACTCGTCGCTGCCTTAAGGTGCAGCGCTGGCAGAGACGCATGGAAAACCCCACCGGGTCCTCCGAGCGCGCACCGTGCCTTGGCCTCCGCTGGCTGCGCAGGCCGTGACTCTGACGCTGGTGCCCTTCGTGTGCGCCGTGGGCGTGATGGGCAACGCCATGTTGGTCCTGATGGTGGTCCGGGTCCGCCACATGGTCACAACCACCAGCTATTACCTGGTGAGCCTGGCCGCTGCGGACCTGCCGGTGCTCCTAGCAGCCGGGTACCCACTGTGGCTGAGAAGGCATCCACCCGAGTTTGGGTCTTTGGTCACGCAGGCTGCCTGGACATCACCACTTGCAGTACATGGGCATCGGCCCCTCTGCGGGCTCCACCACGGCGTACACCGTGGAGCGCTGCCTCGCCATCTGCCACCCACTGCGCGCCCAGGCGCTGTGCACAGTGGCGCGGGCCAAGCGCATGGCGGCGTTGGTGTGGCTGGGGACCTGCGCCTACTGCGTGCTCTGGCTCTTCCTAGTGGACACTCGCGATGCCGCGTGTGCCGCCGGCTTACAGGTGCAGTGCGGCTACCGCTTGTCGCCTCTCTCTACCTGCCAGTCTACTTCCTGGACTTCGCGCACTTCTATGAGCCGCCCCTGGGCCTGGCCACCGTGCTCTACGCGCTTCTTCCCGTGGCTTCTTCGTCTGGCCGTCGCCTCTTGGCTATTCCTGGCGCCCGTGCCCTGCGCACCAGGGCGGCTCTGCCTGCCAAGAAATCTCCTGCAAAGGCAGGAAGCCCTGGATTCTCAGAAGCAGGTAAGGACCTCCGTTCTCGCCCAGACCCAGAGCCAGCAGACTGGTGGGTGGGGCCTTGGGCCCTTCCACAGTCAGACGCCTCAAGTTCAAATCCCTGTTGTGCCTGTTACTAGGCTTGTGTTTTGGGGGGCATTCCTTCTGTCTCTCTGAGCCACAGTTTCCTCTTCTGTTATACAGGGTACCATCAGTGCCTAGGGTAGTGGAGTGTCCACTGCAGGCCACTGTCCCTGCCCAGTTTACAAAGGGCAAAGCCAGAAACCAAGCTAGGCTGGGAAACACATTCTTCAAAAGTGGCATCTTAAAAAAATTTTAAAGCTGATACGTAGACATGACTTGTTAGACTATGATGAAAAGTTCCCCGTATCAGACAGTAACAAATGACCCCCCAAACATAACATTAACAAATTAGCATGCACAAGTTTATTTTTTGCTCTTACAATGTTGTCTTTTGAGGGCAGCTCTCTTCTGTGTTGTGACCCAAGGACCCAGGCTATTCTGCTTCAGTCTTGAGCTACCAACTTCTCACTATCTGCCTCCGTGATTCCCACAGCAGAGGAAGAGAGTCTGAACAAGTCCCAAACTGGCAATGAATGCTTCAGCCAATAAGTGGCACATGTCACTTCAGCTCTCAACGAATAACACAGCTGTCTTATTGCAAAGCAGCAGAGAATCCTGTGATCCCAAAAGGTAAGAAGAACTGACTCTGGGTGAGCACTAGAATCCTCCACCACACAGTGTGGAGCAAGACCAGAGAACAGAGGTAGACACATGGTACGTCTTTTACCTGTTTGCTGCTTCCAGCCACTGGTGCAGCAGGCCCTGCCCCCAAGCTCGCTTCCCCAGTGTTAGCGTCTGGCTATAATCCTAGGTAAGCAACTTGAAGTAGGGGTTTATTCCTTTGTGGAACCTGCAAGACTCCTCCTGGGAAAACCCTATTTAGCATATTTATTTAGTATATTTATAAATTATTAAATGTAAATTTACATGTAATTTAAGCTTGGTTTTCACATGCGTGAAGTAGGCTCCATAGTCGTACTTAACCTGTAGCACTGCTCTGAGGACTGACTACAAGGGATAGAAAGTGCTTGCTCGTAGCAAGCCTAAAATTAATGCTACTTACGTGTAAGTATCTTACACTAACATCCCTTTCTTCTCCTTCGCCATACTCCTCCCCATTTGGAATCCTGCAGCCGTCCGCGATCGTCTGTATACTGTGGCTTCCGCCCCAGGCTCTAGAGTAGGCGGATTCCATGAAGGCAGAGACCATGAATGGCTGGCTTCTTCCATGCTGTGTCCTAGAGTCTAGAACAGTGCCTGGCACAGTAGTTACCCCCAAATGTTTGTTGGATGAGTAAATGAAGGGACAATTAGTAAAGAGTAGCCTTAATCTTAACACTCAAGTCCTTTTGCTGAGATCTGGTTGCTGCTTTGCGGAAGGTTTGAGGTGTAGATTGTGACTTGTTCTTTGGTTTCTAGCAACAGAGTATCTCTGGCTAACTAAATCAAAAGGGAATTTACTGGAGTTAGAAAGAACCAGAACCAAGATAACCCTGGAGATCCAAACAGCTGGCACTAATGGGCAGTCACATTAGTTCACAGCATCCTTGTCAGAACGAATCAGCTCCAGATTCTGCTTGGGATTCAAATCAAAATCCATGACATGCTTGGTTTAGATCACGTGCCTTCAGCTAGGCCAGGAATATAATGGGCAACTTGGACCTTCATCTAATGGCTGCTGTGGACAGTTGTACAGGTTGGGCACTGCTCGATTCCAGTGGGCACCACTCAGCACAGTCTCAATGGATGCATCCTCTCAAAGCCTATGGGAGTGTATGTGCAGACCTAAGTGGTGGTGGTATATTTTCCCAAAGGAAAATTGAAGTGTTTGTTATCAGAAAAAGGAGATATGGGTGTCAGAAGGACCAGACAAAACAACAGGTGTCCACCACAAGTGAATTAACCCAGGTTAACAGCAGTGGGAGATTGACGTTATTTGGTATATCAGCAAGATCTAGGCCTTCCTGGCCCTTCCTGGGCACCTGCTGGCAGCTGGGCCTTCTTTACTTTGCAGCCAGACCCCGAGCCTTCACAGTGAAGCCTCCCGGCAAAGCAGCAAGGCTCAGCCTGGGAGCCTGGCTGCCGCTGGCCTGTGCCAATGCTGCCACCTCGTGGGCATCACAGAAGCTGCAGCATCCGACGTCTGCTAGCCTGTCTGCCTTATCTTCCTCCTCCCCAGCCTGTCTCTTTCCACACCCCCTCCTCTCTCCTTTCCCTAGGGCCTAGACTCCTCATTATTTTGGTCTGGTATCCGACCCCACTAAGCTCCACCCACACCTTCCTCTGGTCTGGAAGTGCTATCCTTGATCATTATTTGGCTGTCTGTATTAGTTATCTACTGCAGTGCAACGAACCACCCCAAACTTAGTGGTGTAAAACATCCTGTATCATACTCTCTCATGGATCCCAATGTTGCCTTATAGGTCCTCCATGCTCAGGGTCTTTCATGCAGTTAAAGGCAGATGGTGGCTGGGGCTGGAGCCTCTCAAAGGCTTTCTTAGATGTCTGTTTGCTAGGACATAGAGACACACACTTACAGAGGGAAGATGATGTAAAGACATCGGGAGAACATCACTTACAAGGCAGGGGATGCCTGAGGCTACTGGGAGCCAGGACAGAGAGGCACGGACCAGATCTCTCTCATTGTCCTTGGAAAGAACCCTTTTGTAAGGCTGGTGGCGGGCCCCCTCCCTTCCCTAGATCAAAAAGAAAAGGCTCCTGAGACCAGACCCGCCAAGGACAAAACTGCCAGGCCCTGCTGAGAGGAACCACACCCAGATGTCCACCTGGATAAGAATGTTTTGGCTCCTGGATTCCACAAATACCTCCAGCCCCTCCTAAAATCCCCAGCTCTTCCCGCCAAAAGTCCCTAGCCAGGCCCAAAAGGTATAAAAGGCCTCAATCCCTTCAAACAGTGGCGACTTCTGGGGCCCCTTCTCTTGGGGCCCCAGGACCTCGTCCACAAGTGTATAATAAAGCCACGTGGTTTGGCCCCCACTCTTTCTCTGTGTCTGTCTTTTCTTTTCACTGCCGCCGAAAAACCTTACACCTTTCTGCCCACATCTTGGTTTCAGACTTCCAGCCTCCAGACTGTGAAACAATTTCTGTTGTTTAGGCTGAAGACTGAACTCTAATTTTTTGCTAAAAACTCCTTCCTAAGGAGGTCAGCTGGGTTAGGCTGGCAAATGGTAAGGAGGCCAGCAGGGTTAGGCTGACAAACTGTAAATTCCCACTAAGCGGCTTTTGTTAACCAAACGAAGCAGTGGTTTACTTCCTGACCTGATTCTGGTATGGCATTAACATCACCTAAAAGATAGGAAGCCCCTGTCTTAACTCTAGCATCCTAGCAGATGCCTATCATAAATTTAAAATATCTTAACTCAAGCATCCTAGCAGGCGCCTATTGTAAATTTAAAATGTCCTCCTGTCTGGACCTCCCAGAGTGCTCATACCCTTATCTTAAAGTAAGCATATCCTTTCTGGTCTTCTAGATAAAGTCTAACTCTCTCAGCCAATTGCCAGCCAAAGAATCTTTAAACCCACCTATAACCTGTAAGCCCCCCCCCCTCCGCTTCGAGATGTCCCACCTTTTTGGGCCAAACCAATGTATGCCTCTCATGTATTGATTTGTGACTTTGCCTGTAATCCCTGTCTCTCTGAAAATGTATAAAACTGAACTGTAACCCAGCCACAGCGAGTCCACTTGCCCAAGGCCTCTTGGCAGTGGCTCCGGGTCATGGTCCTCAAATTTGGCTCAGAATAAATCTCTTTAAAATTATTTTACAGAGTTTGGCTTTTTTCCGTCGACAAGGCCACCAATTTGTGGTACCTTGTGTGGACAGAAAAAATCCAAGCCCTGAAATATTTGAAAGAAGTTTATTCTTGATTGTAGATGGCATGAGGCATGAGGATCTAACCTTAGTTCATTCCAAATTGACACCAGTTGTTCATATAATTGAGTAATTTATAATTTCTCTATAGTGTTTTAAATTTTCAGATTAGACAGCTTGGTTTTTGTCTTCTCACTCTGTCTCTGCAGTCTTCTAGTAACAGACCCCAATCCCTTTATCTGCAAAGATGACACTTAAGAGGACTAACCATAGTCCTCCACCTACCTGTGGTAATTATACTACAGATGAGCATTTGATAAAGCTGAGGCAAAGCCCTTCCTAAGACTTTTTAAATGGGTGATGGACACAGGATAGTTAATATGTGATCCTGAAACTTTCAACCAACTCAAGAAAACAGCAGTTGCAGTACGAAAACCATGCAGAGATAAGTAGATTTGAACAGCAAAGAGAATCTGATGATGTTTAAACAAAAAGTATATGTCTTTCTGGTTTTAGTATTCCCTAACATCCACTCACCCCTGTTCTACCAGTAGCTTAATTATGTCAATTAGTGTATTCCAAGAAATCTTGTGTTTTTTAATAATCATGTTCATAGATGTGTTCTTTAGAAGTCACTTATCAAATTCTGAGGAAAAAAGGCCTCTGTAATGTCAATTAGAATTACATCATACGGATACATGCAGTTAGGTAGGATCAACATTTAATGGCATTAATATTAGTGGGAGATAGTTTCTCTTCAAGTCCCAGTTTCCATGAGTGGGATTTTTCCTATACCCATTCCTGGCCTCTCTGCCGCATCATGCATTCTGCCCCAGGGAAGATGAAATGGGTTTACCTAACTGGTAAGATGGGGTGGAGTAACTGGGTTTGCCCAGCTCAACTCTTGCTTTTCCCTGTGGGCTGTCCTGCAAGTATGCTTCTTATCACTGGCATTGCCTGTGATTGAGCGGGTAAATTGGTCTCATTCTGTCATTCAGCTAATTGGCCAATTTGGAGGAAAAGTTGCATCCTCCAATGCAGTCCTAATCGATAATAAAAGGTCTTTTCCTGACCCCTATCTGCTACTTATTTTAATTTTTGATTTTTCAGTGGGAAACAAAGGTGTTGTCTATTTACGGACCCATTGAGAACCCAATGTGAACATGATTTGTCTGTTTATTCAGTTCTTGTTTTATGTCCTTCAGTAGGATGGATATATGTTTGTGTGTACATATACATATATTTTATAGATGAGTGTATAAATATAGATAAGTATATGTGTGTATACTGATCTTGCTCTTGTCCTGTGAAATTTATGGTCACTTCAAAAATGTGGTTGCTATTGTGAATGGAATTATCTTTCACTTTAAAACTTGATTGGAGTAAAAAAATTTTGTACCAAATTTGTGTAAATTTATCCCTTATTTTTAATATTTTTTGCTTGTTCTTACAAAATTTATTACATGTGAAACTGGTAGATTGCTTTGTGTTTTTCAGATATTTTTATGTGCTAAAGATCCTTTTTTTTTTTTTGAGACAGAGTCTCGATTTGTTGCCCGGGCTAGAGTGAGTGCCGAGGCGTCAGCCTAGCTCACAGCAACCTCAAACTCCTGGGCTCAAGGGATCCTCCTGCCTCAGCCTCCCGAATAGCTGGGACTACAGGCATGTGCCACCATGCCCAGCTGATTTTTTGTATATATTTTTAGTTGGCCAATTAATTTCTTTCTATTTATAGTAGAGGCAGAGTCTTGCTCTTACTCAGGCTGGTTTTGAACTCCTGAACTCGAGCAATCCGCCCGCCTCGGCCTCCCAGAGTGCTGGGATTACAGGCGTGAGCCACCGCACCCGGCCTGTGCTAAAGATCTGTATACTCACTATATCTGTCTAGTTGTGCCTTCTGCTTGCCCATTTGCTTTGCGTTATGTGGCAAACCAGAATTCTACCCCTCAGTATATTTGCTTTTCTTTATTGGTTTTATTTATTATATAGATGAAAAACCTATATGTTGGGAAAAAATTTAATATTTTTTCAAATCTGACAAAAAGTGTAAATCCACAAATCCAAGTTCAGTGAACCCCAAGTAGGTGTCCAAATTTCTCCTTTTTATAAGCACATCAGTTATATTGGATTAGGGGTCCACCAGGATAACCTCATCTTAACTAATTACATCTACAACAATCCTGTTTCCAAATAAGGTCACATTCGGAAATCCTAGGGGTTAGGACTTCACCAGAAATTTTGAGGAGACAATTCAACCCACAACACAGGGCAATATGTTACCTATTGCTATGTAACAAATTACTCCCACATTTAGCAACTTAAGACAACATCATCATCTCACACAGCTTTTGTGGTTTAGGAATCTGAGAGTAACTTGGCCAGGTGGTTCTGGTTCAGGGTGTTTCATAAGGTTGCAGATGAGATCTTGACCAGGGCTGGAGTCTTTTAAAGGCTTCACTGCCACTTCCATGATGGCTGTCTCACATGGCTGTTAGGAGAAGGCCTCAATTCCTCGTCACATGGACCTCTCGATAGGATTCCTTGAGTTTCTTGCAACATGGCAGCTGATGTTCCTGATAGTGAGTCATCCAAGAGAGAGCAAGGCAGGAGACAAAATTTCCCGTGCAACCTAGCTTTGGAAGTTATAACACTTTCAGTGTATTGAATTGGTCTCATAGACCAACCTCGATATGGTGTAGAAGGGGACCATGCGAGGACATGAATAGCAGGAGGTAGAGATCTCTAAGGCCGTGTATCTTAGAGGGTAGCTACCACAGGTAACTCCCATAAGAATGGAGTGGTTTCAAGAAGTGGAGGAGACCCAGTGAATACAAGCAACTCTTTCAAAGAGTTGTACTCAAGAGAAATGGCATTGTAGCTCATGGAAGAAGTATAGTCAAAAGAGATTTCTTTTTAGAAATAGGGATAATTACATGTTTATTCACTTGTGAGCAATATAAGTGGAGAAGGCAAAACAGTGCAGGAGAAAATTGATGGAGTAATGTTCTGAGTTGGTGAGATAGTCTAGTGCATAGGGGGAAAGTTAGTCTTTTTAAGAGAATGGGCATCTGTCATGCCCTACCAGCTAATGCACACTGAAAGCCTCATATATATGGGCACACAGGTAAATAGTTGATGTGGTGGAAGCCTGTGAATTTCTTTTATAATTATTACGCCATCATCTGCATGTTTGGTGCTGGAGCTTGAAGTCTGCAAGCCAAGCAGTCAGCAAGGGAAGGTGAATGTTGAATGGGAGAGAACCAAGACAAACTTAGGTCTTTTTACTGTCTTCAACCTAAATGATGTGGGTGCGCTACAGAAGTTGGTGCTGTTTGTCATGTTGCTAAATACATACCCAGTCCAGGAGCTGGAAAAGCTAAAGGAAGATCCTGAGGCAAGGATAGCAGCTGTAGGCCTACCAACCCACACCAACAAGGACAGCCAGCAAATAAGAAACAGCACGTGTCAGTGACAGAAGCCACTCTGAGCATCTAAACAAAATTACTGCTCCTCCACCTCCACCCTGCAGATCTCACACCAGAGTATCCTCTGTGGCCCACCCTCACTGGAAACACAGGGAAGGGAATTCTGGGGAACATAGAATCAGTCGAGCCAAGGTAACACATTACAAGGTCAGCATATTCCTGTTTTCCCTTTAAGGCGAGGGAAGTCTCTTTATTCAATTTTATTTTTTTCCTTTTGAATGAACTGTTTCTTAATAGTACTGATTCTGTAATTGGTACCAGAACTGTCTCCAAGAAACAGATCCTCAAAATGGAAACAGGGTTGTGGAGTGGTAGATGCCAGGCACCACATCTAACCTTTGGAGACAAAGTAGACACAATTATCGTAACATGCCTTAGGACAGAGTGATAATCAGGGTTTGGCTTTCCAGTAACAGATAATTGATCATGGAGACCCTAGAATGAAATTAGATGGGTAGTCTTCTAAGGTATAGCTTGATAGGTAAATGGAAAACTTCTGGATCTCCTAGACAGAAACCTGATGAGTGATTATAGTGGGAATTCACAGCACCTTACTCAGTTCCCAGACTTAAGCCAAACCCAAAGTAGTTTCAGAAAAGACCTTTGAAGAAGGTCCCTGCAATGTAGCCATAGGAGCATAGTGTCAGTCTTCCTCCTGGCCTTCCCAAGGGCACCTGTGGTCATTACCAGCATGACTGCACTGGATAAAAGGAAATACCCAGACTCCATGGACATTTGGATATTGGCTCTGACATAATGCTAATTCTTACATATCCCAAATGCCACCATGGCCCATAATTATAAGAATGGAGACTTATCAAGGTCAGGAGATAGATGGAGTTTGGGCCGAATCCATCTCACAGAAGGTTTGCTTCTGTCCATGGAACCACAGGCCCGTCCTGTGGTTATTTCCTCAGACCCAGAATGTATAGGGACACACTTAGTAATTGGCAGAATGCCCATCCTACCTGTGAAGGGAATACTCTTGCACCCTGTGATAATATAATCCAGTCTCAATAATTTTTAACTATGTTTTAGACCAAAGTAATAATAATAATAGGATGAGATGGATATTTACATGAAATCATTGGCTAACACTGTTTATGTAGCATACGGGGATTAACATATGGTATGGATTTATACCAATTTTTCATTCTATGGAAGTTGAATTGTCTTCAGAGATCATCTTTAAGGTTAAAGCATTCACCCAATAGCTAATTATCATGTCTCCTCTTATGAGGACACCAGCGATTGGACTTAGGACCCACTCTAACCTAGTTTGATTTCATTTTGATTACATCTGCAGAGAGATCCTATTATTAAATAAGGTCACATTCATGGGTGCCAAGGATTAAAACTTCAACATATCTGTTGTGGGGGATAGCATTCAAACCACATACACCCTGTTAGATGATCTCTCCTCAAATACGTGGCAATGAAAATACAAATAAGGATTTAATGAGTAAAAGCAAAAGATGCATCACATCCATTAGCGTTCAGATGACGTTTTAAGCCTAAATATTAGAAGCATTTATAACTTCTCTCTCCATCTGTTATTATTTGTTTAAATGTAACTATGTAACATGGTTTTAATATTAGAGCCCAAATGGAAATAAACAGGAAAAGAATTCTGCTGAGACTTTACAAGGAGAATGTCTTAAATGCCTAACGTTTACATGATAGCTATCTTTTTATCCTTTTTTTTTTTTTCATATAACTGGAGACTTTTGGCTTAGAAGTAGTGATACCCCCTAGGAAATAAGGCAACAGATACAGAAAGAAGAAAGTTTTAGATCCCAGTGAAAAAATTCCTAAGTTTCTATCGAATTTGGTGGTGGTAAATTTGGGATACTAGACTTTTCAGGACTGGTCATTCTAGTGTTTCCTAGTAAGCTTCTTTTTTTTCTCTTCCCATTATAGACATAGAATTCGCAGTTTGACCCTGGTAGAAGCCATGTTAGAAAGTCTATATTTGAGGAAAAAATGGTTCCAGTTTAACTAACCCAAGATTTTAAGGACCAAAATTAAGGATGAGAGAGAGGTCCAGTGCACACATTTTTTGTTTATCCCATTTCCATTTTCATAAAGTGTTGATAATGTTTCCTTTGTACTCATTAACTTATTTCAGTTGCATTTTCAGCTTATATATAACTTAAAATCTATAAAACAAAATGTGTCTGCAAATTTGTATTTGCAAATTTGTTATTTGCAAAAGTGAGCTATATATACACACCTTTTCTTACAGATACAGACGTACTGACCCTTAAAGACACAAGTAGTGAAGCACATGAAGAGGAGCCACATCTGGGGATTATACAACAATTTAGTTCCATGGCAGCCACTGTAAAGTCTAGGCAGAAAGATAAGAAAAACGACACTCCCCCAAATCTGGAATTCTTGTGTCTATCCTACTCTCTTTTTTGAGACAGAGTCTCCTCTGCCGCTCGGGCTAGAGTGCTGTGGCATCAGCCTAGCTCACAGCAACCTCCAACTCCTGGGCTCAAGCGATCCTCCTGCCTCAGCCTCCTGAGTAGCTGGGACTACAGGCATGCGCCACCTTGCCTGGCTAATTTTTTCTATATATATTTTTTAGTTGTCCGTATAATTTCTTTCTATTTTTTTTAGTAGAGACGGGGTCTTGCTCTTGCTCAGGCTGGTCTCAAACTCTGGAGCTCAAACGATCCTCCTGCCTTGGCCTCCCAGAGTGCTAGGATTACAGGTGTGAGCCACCGCACCCAGCCTACCCTGCTCTCTTTACCCTTTAGTTCTTTGACTTGTGGTCAACTTTTTGTTTTTTACTGTCTGCTGCCAACGTTTCTTCTCTAATGGTTCTAAGTCCAAAGAGATGGCATTTGTTTTCCTTACTTAGCTTAGGGTTGCATCATCTAAAGTTTACATCTTTAGATAGCTACCTTTGTTAAAAATCTTTTATTCATCCAGTGAAAGTAGGTTATGAAAAAACAACAAAATGAGTATTTTTTTCACCAGAACCTTCTAGCTGCCCCTTAGCTCAGTACTGCTCACCGTAGAAACTACCTTCTCTAATTTCAAATTTTGACTGATCACATATAGCAATTTTTGTTCAGAGTCTCAAATCAGTACAATATAGAAAGATTTCTGATCACATCTGTTTCTTCAACATAAATGTATTTATATTTCCATGAGTTTGTGCAGAAGTAGGCCTTGACTAAAGATCTTTCTATAATGGTCTCTTGGGCTTAAATTTCCAATTTCTAACAAAGGGTAAATGATTTCTAAATGCCTTTCTGCATCTTCCCTTTTTTAGGGTTTCTTTTCATCATGAGTTCTCGGATGTTGAGAAAAACTTGAGTTTAAGCTAAAAGCTTTCCACATGGATTACATACAAAGGATTTCTCTCCTGTATGGATTTTCTTGTGTTTATTCAGATCTGAGGTAAGGCGAAAGGGCCTCTCTACTGAATGAGTTTTCTGATGTTTACTAAGGTTTGACTGATGTTTAAAGGTTTTTTCGCAAATAGTCCATTGATAGGGTCCCTCTCCAGTGTCAAGTTAGATCTGAGGAATGGACAAAAGTCTTTTCATAATTAATACAAGTGAAAGGTCTCTTTCCAGTATGGATTTGTCAATGGCGAGCAAGATCTGTGTGCTAGGTAAGGGATTTTTCACAACCATCACGTTTGTAAGGTCTTTCTCCAGTATGAATTCTTTGATGTAGGACAAATTGTGAGTATGGACTGAATTCCCTTCTGCAATAATTACATGCATAACATTTCAGTATGAATTAATTGGTGTCGAGTTTTTTCTGAGAAATGGAGAAAGCTTTTTTCCATAAAGTGTATAGGAAAAGGGCTTCCTTTGAACATGAGTTTTTTGATGCTGAGTCTGGTTTATTTTCTTGCCAATGTGAAACCTCTGATGTATAGAGAGAGATGAGAGAAACCGAAAGGCCTTTTCACATATATCACATGTGTACGGTTTCAGTGTACTATATATGCTCTGATGCTGAATAACCTTTGAAGCTCTGTTAAAATTTTTGCCACACTGGTTACATTCAGAGTGTTTATCTGGTATGCAAATTCTTTGCAGTGTTGTAAATGATGAGCGATGCCTAAAGGATGTAGTATTTTCACCATATTTGTGGTCTTCCTCTAGCTTGTGAATTTTCTGGTGTCCAGTAAGTTGTGAGATATGCCCAGAAGCCATGCCACAGCCATCACATTCATAATGCTGGACAAAAGCACAAGGGTTTTGCTATTCTGCATGGTGAAAGCTTTGTCTGAAGGCATTCCCAGATATATTGAGGGCATGAAAAGTCACCCATGATGGTTGACATGCTATGAGGAAAATAATGAGAGGAAAATGAAATCAAAACCAAGTACTGCAACATACATCAAGGTAATTAGTAAAGCAAAAGAAAGAAGAATTCCATGACTGGAGACTTTAGAAAGGTAGGATGAAAAGTAGGAATTTGTGGACATGGAAAATCAAAGAATTTCTTCTTCCTTCAAGTACAAGAATAATTTATTGACAGTGGCCATTAAATTTTTTTTCTATTTCTTTAAACTTGAAGAAATAAAACCCTAAAGAACCTAAAAAGAATCACATGAAATCCTAAATGTGGAGGAAAGTTTTGTTTTCATTAAGGACCTTTAAAATATCTATGGATAACAATTTGCAAAAGTGATGATACTGTAACACATTAACTGCCATGTGAGTTGTATTTAACTCATGCTAGTTTTGAGCCTGGGGCCTTGTGAAACAAAACCTGGGCAAAACCCTGCAGTTGGTTTGTGAAATTCTTACTTGTTGATGTTCTTATTATTATAATTAATATTGACCATTTAATTCTAACAATGTGGATTAAATGAATAGAAGTCAATAACAAATTTTTCATTAAATTAGAAAGGATCATTCTGTTTTCAAAGATTTTTTCTATTTTTGTAATAAAATACCGTGGCCCCAAGGGAAAAATTTTTTACTAGTGTGGCAGTCAGTGTGTTAAATATTTTCCTTTGAACAACAAAATTGGAGATATTTATGAGTAAATAAATCTGGGTTTTCAATTTTACTGTTTAATTTTTTTTTGTATGACAGGTCCATTATTGATTGGCCTAATGTTCTGTTTGGATATTTGAGTTGTATTTATTTTTGTTGCTGCTAAGAACATTGAGAGCAATCTTATACATACATCTTTGTTAATTTTTAAAAATATATTCTAGTATAGATTCTTAGAAATGAAAGGGAGTACCAATTTTTGGTATATACATGAACTGTACTCAAATATATTGCATGAGCACATCACTATTTTCCGGTATCTTGATAACCCTAGACTCTATCAAACCCTAGACTCTATTATCTTTATATCAAACTATGGTATCATGAGTTCTAGCACTTATTTTTTTAATAAAGAAATCTAAAATTGGTTAACTGTTAGAAAAAATTCTGAGCATTTCTACGTACAAAAATGTTAATAAAGACAAAATTTCTACCATGGTTAAGAGGAAGAACCAGCATGGTTTCTGTTATGTTCATTCTTATCCTTGAGATGCTACTGAAGTGATTAGAAAATATATGGATACAGTGGAATATTTTAAAATATGAGTAATATTTTCAAAAAGATAAGACATCACAACATGAGATAGAATCAGTGGTGATAAGAAAAGGCAAGAATTGGCTTAAAGATAAAATGTTTAAATGAACTTAATTGACATTTATAGCAAAATTATAATATACAGCCAAAGACAAAACAGTCACATGGAAAACCTGGTTGAAGAACTCTTAGAAGTAAGGAGACTGAAGAAATAGAACATACAAAAGTTAGAAAAAGTAAGGATTAAAAGAAAAGTACCACCATCCATTATATATGAGCCTTGTAAAGGAAAAAAACAGGTTTTAGATTTACCAACTTCATCAAGTATCTTAATATATAGGCAACTGGAGTCTTAGAGAAAAAAAAGGGGGAGAAGGTACCAGAAAAATATTTAAATAGTGGGCAAAAAATTTCCAAGTACAGTGAAAACTATAATCTCACAGATCAAAGAATCCCAAATTACACACACAAGAAATGAGAGGATTACACCAATGTACATAATAAACTTACTCAAAACCAGTGGTGAAGCAAAAACTGTAAAAGCAACCAGAGAGGGACCACAGCCTTATACTATATACAAATGTAGACATCACAGAAATTAAAGATATAAATGTGAATTTCAAACCTATCAAGCTAATCTATCTTTATGACTATTTTTATGACCTAGGATGGAATGAATTTATAAGCAAAAAGACAATAGGCAAAGCTATAAGACTTATGTCAAAAATGTTCTGGATATGATCACACCAAAAAAGGATTTCTGGTCAAGAAAAGCACTAGAGTCAAGAAGCAAATGACAAATTGGCAGAAGTATTCATACATTTAAAGCCAAGAAAAAGGATATAGAACATAAAATTTAATTCCACAAAGAAAAGAAAACCATTAGACATGGGCAAAGAACTTGAAGAGGCAATTCAGAAAAGCTGAATATTGAGTGGATAACAAAAATATCATGAGAGCTTCATCTTAATATTAGAGAAACGAGAATTAAAACAAGGAAATAAAACTTAACTATCAAAATGGAACCAATTAAAGTGTAGAAATCACCAAGCAATGATAGGATGCAGGGAAAGAGGGGCAAGTAATGCTAGTCGAGTGTAAAATTCACAGATGTCCAGAAAGTAATCTGGGAATATTTTGTGGAACTATGTGCAATATGCTCTGTGATGCACAGAAATTGTTGCTATAGATTCACAAGGGAACATGTGAGATTTCGGTTTGAAATAATTGTAGAGACTTAGGAATCTTTTTTCCTAACAATGGCTAAGTATGGTGGATGCGTATCAAATACCATATCAAACTAAAAAGTAAAACGTGTACATGTAACTTGTAAAGATCTCAGAAATAGAGATAAATTGACAGGTAAGTAGTCAGATTTTTACAGCCTGCCATTTAAATAAAAGTGAATTCATATATAAAATGGTGTGTACTTTCTAATTATTATGTGTGTATTTAACATAGAAAACATATTCGACTGGCGGTCATGTGGTAGGGAGAATGAGATCATGGATTAGAGATGAAAGGAATACAAAATAATGATAGAACCTTGAATAGAACCAGTGACGATTGACTATAAACCAAGCAATGTGGTCGACTCCATTCTTTGTACCAATTTCTAGCCCTCCTGCTGCAACCTTGCTGGCCATAAACAGTCTAGGTTGTTTTATTCAAATATATATCACAATAAGGTAACAGATGTGTTCTACAACCACAAGGCAGCAGTGGAAAGTAGAAAAACATCTTACAGCAAGTATCGAAGTGACTACAACTTGATAGAAAAGTGTGCAGAGGTACCCGGAGAATGAAAGGATAAACGAGAAAAAAGAACTACTTTGGAGGTAGGAGAGGAGTTTGGGACAAGTTACTAAGTATTTAAAGAATAAGAAGGCCCAGAGTTACTTGAAATTCTTGTGAGCAATTCTGATAAAACCTTTGAATTTCTCCTGGATTCTAGGACCACATTCCAAAATGCCTATAGCTTAAGCATTTGGTGTTTTATTCTACTCTTCAGATCTAATGATATTTCAAACCAAAATTTATCCTCATGTATCCCAACTTTTCATCCCTGGACTTTCAGGATTCTATTAATGAGCTGCCTTCCCTGCTGTCAGCACTGAAACTTGAGAAATTTTTCTGCAATTCCTGGATGACCTTACATTCTGGCAATTTCTACCTTCTGATGGAAATGTCATCTCTCACCACCTAGATGGTAAATTTGTTTTTCTGATTTGTTATTCTATAACCTAATATCTAGAGAGAAAAGAAATCACTCTCTAGAACTCTTTAAAAAAAAAAAAAAACTTTTCATAACACTTTTCTGAGCTAACCCATTTCATTCTAATCACTGACAAGTTATTTGACCAGTTCAGCTATTCATTTTCCTATCTCTTCATGTGGTAATTTAAATTCCAAACTTTTACCAGTATACCATTTACTGTCCTAAAACTCAGGTTATGGCAGGAAATAAGTCATGAAATTGATTTTATAAAAAAGAAAATTATCTGAAGAAATAAAGGAATGGAGAAAAGACTTAAATTAGTATGTTGTGTAACCAATAACCAGAATTTATACAGATTAATAAGAAAAACATAGAAACTGCATACTAGAAACATGCCTGAAGTACATGAATAAGCAGCTCACTAAGGAAAGCACACAAATGGTCATTAAGGAGAAGCGTTTAAACTGTTTTCAGTTCAATGCAAATTTCAACAGCAATAAGTCTCGCTTATTTTGATGAGTCAAAAAATTTAAAACATGAATATATTTAACATTTTTTAAAAAAACTTTTTTTTCAAGGGTAGGGAAGCAAGCAGTCATCCTGGTTTTGGGACTTGAAGGTCAGCACAGTACTCTGGGAGCATGACTTGACAACACCTAACATGATTAAAAGTGCATACCCATGACTCAGAAATTTTAAGTCTTAGATAGCTTTCTTAAAGTTCAAGAATATGCAGAGACTTCATTGCCGTATTATTCCTACCACTGAAACACTGCAGACCGAGCGGTCCATAGACAGGCAAAAGTTCCAAGTTTAGGACAGTTCACATCCTAGGACACCTTGCAGTTGTTGAAAATAAGGGCCACCTATATGTGCTGCTGTGGAAAGATCTCAAATGTTATAAAATAAAAGGGCAAATTACAGAGTATATGCATGTTTATGTAAATCCAAAGAGAATCTGTTGTGTACAAGACAATGGTGAGTAGGGTTAGGGATGAATGAGAATTTTTTAATGCCTGTCTGCCTTGTTAATTAAAAAGAAGAGGCCGGGCGCGGTGGCTCACGCCTGTAATCCTAGCTCTCTGGGAGGCCGAGGCGGGCGGATTGCTCAAGGTCAGGAGTTCAAAACCAGCCTGAGCAAGAGCGAGACCCCGTCTCTACTATAAATAGAAAGAAACTAATTGGCCAACTGATATATATATAAAAAAAATTAGCCGGGCATGGTGGCGCATGCCTGTAGTCCCAGCTACTCGGGAGGCTGAGACAGAGGATCGCTCGAGCCCAGGAGTTTGAGGTTGCTGTGAGCTAGGCTGACGCCACGGCACTCACACTAGCCTGGGCAACAAAGTGAGACTCTGTCTCAAAAAAAAAAAAAAAAAAAAAAAGAAGACATATTGATAGATTTCTTAATAATTTGAAAAACTTAAAAAGGTGCAGAGGCTAAATTTAACTTAGGTCTGCCTGACTTAGAGATAAAAAATCTTCATAAACTTCATTTTAAAAAATATTTTGATAAGAATGTATGATTAAATGAAATGCCCACTCCTATATTTGGACATTTTGTCTTCCCTCCCTCCAGTTATTTAGTACCATGATTGATTATGTCAGCCTCTGACCTCATATAAAATGTGATGTCCATCATTTTACTCAGTTTTTCTAAATATGTGGATCTGTGTATTAGTTTCCTTTTGCTGCTGTAACAAATTATCACCAACTTAGTGGCATTAAACAACAGAAATTTGTCATCTTACAGTTCTGGAGGTGAGCAGTACAGTTTGGGTTGGCAGGGCTATGTTCCTTCTGCAGGCTCCAGTTGAGAATCTGGTTCCTTACCTTCTCGAGCTTCCCAGAGGCCACCTGCATCCCTTGGCTTGTGGTCCCATCCTCTGTCTTCAAAGCCAGCAACATAGCATCCTCCAGCGTGTCCTGAGACTCCTGTCTCCCTCTTATAAGGACACTGATTACATTCAGGGCCCACCCAGATAAACCTGGAAAAACTCCCCATCTGAAGATTTTTGACTTTATCACACTCCCAAAGTCCCTTTTTTTTTTTTTTTTTTTTTTGAGACAGAGTATCACTTGGTTGCCCAGGCTAGAGTGAGTGCCATGGCATCAGCCTAGCTCACAGCAACCTCAAACTCCTGGGCTCAAGCAATCCTACTACCTCAGCCTCCCAAGTAGTTAGGACTACAGGTATGCGCCACCATGCCTGGCTAATTCTTTTTTTCTCTATATATTAGTTGGCCAATTAATTTCCTTCTATTTATAGTATAGATGGGGTTTCGCTGTTGCTCAGGCTGGTTTCGAACTCCTTACCTTGAGCAACCTGCCCGCCTCGGCCTCCCAGAGTGCTAGGATTACAGGCGTGAGCCACCGCGCCTGGCCCGCAAAGTCCCTTTTACCATTTAAGGTAACATTCACAGGTTCCAGGGACTAGGACCTGGATATCCTGCATGTAGGGGGGAGGATGGCAGGGTGGGACCATTCATCTTACCACGATATGTATCTGGACTTCTATTTTCTTCTATTTACCCATCAATGTATTGCCATTGCCGTGTAGTCTTAATTATTATAACTTGATGACATGCAATTTAAGTCTGTCCAGCCCAGTGTCTCCTTGTTACTCAGAAGTGTTGTGGCATTCCTCCACTTCATTCCATCCATCCGCCTGCCTGCACGCTGCTCCAGCTCTCCCAGAGATCCGAGAGCAACAGGCAAAACACTGCCTCACCATCCACACAAGCCACCCAACTTCAGACTGAACTCGCTAACCCCTGGAACTCTTATTCTTCAGCCAAAAAGTGTTTCCAAACAAATTCGTGCCTAGGAGACTGGCTCTGATGACGCCCCGTGGTCAGTAACTCCTCAAGCAGTTTGATAAATGAATACGTAAGTCTTGGGTCATGAAAGAAAGCTTCTGGGTTACCTGTGCTTTCCATTGTCCCCCGACTGTCATCTCATCACTGGAATGGGGACCTGCGGCCTGTGGAGCAGATGCAAAAATATTTTCGGGCCTTGTAAATTTTAGGAAGAAAATCAGAAGTAAGCAATTCACCTGTGATATCACTTTGAGAAATGAAAGAGTTCCTCTCCTCATCTTCCTTCTGTTCTCAGGGGAAGGTAGACTCCAAGAAGTCACACCTTAACATTGAGAACAGAAGTGTGTGAGACCAGGCACCCCCCCGCCCCCACCACATACACAGAGGAAACCAGGGATACACAGCAGCCTCCCAACCTTGGCCGTCAGGTTCTCTCTTCTCCCGGGCTCTATGAAGAGCCCACACGTGATGCTGTAGCTGTTGGGCCTGTGTGTCTGAGACCCCACTTCCTAGATCTGCCCTGAACGAAACGCCCTCCGCTGCCCAGTGGGTGGGAGTGAACTCACCTCAGACAGGTCAGTCCCAACGCAGCTGGCAGGCCCAGCGCACCCCTGAGCCTGCTTATATAGAGCCTGGGTCATCTCGCCCAGAAGCATCTCATTTTCCAACCAAGGCCAATCCACTGCCTGTGGAACCTTCAGCTCTTTTGGTCCTGAGTATAGTAGGAACAGGGAGGCTTGGGGAACGCAGGATTGTCTCACCAAGGCTTAGGCTGAAAATACCCAAGTGCTGTTTATTCATGCCTGGCACATAACACACATCCCAGGAGAGCTTGTGACACTCTTCCCACTTGAATCTTCAAGACGAGGGTCCTCACCTGGTGCCCACTGCCACATGAGGCAGCTGCGTGGAGGAGGAGAGGCAGTTTGGCACTTGCAGCACGGGGCTGGTGTGAGACAGCACCTCCACTGCCCCGTGGCCCGTCAGTGACATGGGGAGCCAGCATGTACGGTGTGTCTCAGAAAGAGGCTGGGCGTGACGGGCAGGTATGGAAGGCAGAGCAATCCCTTCCCAGAGATCCACATCCTAATCTCCAGAACCTGTGACTATGTTACCCTACTTGGCAAAGGGGACTTTGCAGGTGTGATTAAGTTAAGGATCCTAAAATGGGGAGATTTATCCTGGATTATCTAGGTGGGCTCGATATAATCCAAAGGGTCCTTACAGGAGGAAGGGAGGAGAGTCAGATAGTGGAAGGGAGCCGAGAGCTGAGGATGGTGGGCAGGCTCTGGAATCTGAAAAAGGCAAGAAAACAGGTTCCCCCTCAGAGCCTCCAGAAGGAGCACTGTCTTGTAAAAACCTTAATTTTAGCCCTGAAGACCCATTTTGTACTTCTGACCTCCAGAACTGTAAGATAAGTTTGTGTTGTTTTGAACCACTAAGTTCATGGGAATTTGTTACAGCCCCATGGAAAACCGGCCAGAGACAGAGGAGAGGGCTGGGTTGGGATGAGATGGTCACAGAGCATGACATCAGGCCTGGATGCTCACTTGTGCCCAAAGGCCAGGGTGGCCAAAGGACACCAGCAGTAGATGCAGCAAGGACAGAAGGCAAAACCAGTGACCAAGCAGGATGAGATGCCCCGCAGAGGCCAGAGGTTCTGCAGGTATTAACCTGAGACTGCACGTAAAAAAGACTTTGTCTTTTATTTTTTGTAAGTGACATTTTTATTGAGGTGGTTGTAGATTTACATGCAGTTGTAAGAAAAAATAGAGATCTTATATTCCCTTTACCTAGGTTTCTCTAATGATAATATTTTGAAAAATTATAGTATATCAAAACCGGGATACCAATGTTGATAAAATTCTCCAGTCTTACTCAGATATTCCGTTCTACTTTGTGTATGTGCGTTGGTTCTATACAGTCTTATTACACGTGTAGTTTCACAGATTCACCACCACGGTCATGAACAGAACAGAACACCGTCATCACCACCAGGATCTCTGGTGTTGCCATTATAACCACACCCACTTCTCTCCCACGCCCTCTCCAATCCCAAGCAACTGTTAATACTAATCTCTCCTCCATTTCTATAAATTTGTCACTTCAAGAATGTTATATATATATATATTATTATTATATACTATATAACCTTTGGGATTGGTTTTTAAC